CATGCACGCACGCACGCACGCGCACGCACACACACACACACATCACCCACATCACCCACACCACCCACACCACACACACACACCACACACCACACACACCACACACACACACACCACACACACCACACACACCACACACACCACACACACACACCACACACACCACACACACACACACCGCACACACCGCACCCACCACACACACCACACACCACACACACACACACCACACACACCACGAACACACCACACACACACACCACACACACACACCACACACACCACACACACCACACACACCACACACACACCACACACACCACACACCACACACACACACCACACACACCACACACACACACCACACACACACACCACACACACCCCACACACACACCACGCACGCACACCAGACACACCACACACACACACCACACACCACGCACACCACGCACACAACACGCACACCACACACACACACACACCACACACACAACACACACACACACCACGCACACACACCACACACACACACCACACACACCACACACGCACCACACACTACACACACCACACACACACCACACACACCACACACACCGCACACACCACACACACCACACACACCACACACACCACACACACCACACACACACACGCACCACCCAGACCACACACACATGTGCGTCCCAAGATGCACGCGCGCACCCACACCACCACGCACCCACACTACTTTCCCAGCAAGCGTTTTTAGATGCATTTTTTTGGAAGGCGATGTGAATCCTGTTGGCGTTCCGCTGGGCAGACATAGCATGGGAGAACAAAATGAAGTATCACTGACTCAGTTGCAGTGCGTCGCAGGCTCTGGCGACATCCTTTTAGTTATCAGAGATCCCATTGCTGGAGAAGGCCGGTGGTGCAGCTTGCATGACGCGCATCGGCAATTTGCCGGTACCGGCCTTTGGCGTTTGGCGTTTGGCGTTTGTGCCATAGAAGTTTGAAGGACGCATTGTGTTTTTTTGCTCAGATGTCCTGCGGCTTTGCTGTCATTCCCTGATTCTCACGCTGCGGTCTCAGAACAGCCACGGCCTCACCTAACCACCTGATTTCTTTTTGCAGGCAGCACGGGTATTTCTACAAAATGCTCAGCAGGAGACTCGGGGCCAAGAATTGCGACCGGCCTCACGTGAGCGCCATGAGGCTCAGAGACTCCTTTGAGAGAAGGCATTACCCGTGAGGCCCAAAGCAAGCTCTGCGTGAGAATGTATTCAGCATGTGCCTTTGGTAGGCCGTCATCTCAGAGCCGCGAACAGAGGCTGAGCCCCCAAATCCACCAGTTCTGAGTTCTCCGAAGCGTCTGCAGTTCGTGGAGCTGCTCCGCTTCATCTACACGTCTCTCAGGGCACGTTTGGATGTGCGCGGCTCTCGTTGACGCAAATCGGCACTTGGGGCAAATGCTTGGTTTGTAAGTCTGATTTGTGCGGCAGTCTAGCACCAGCCAGCAATATTGGCTCACACGAAAGCTGCCAGGAACCAGGTTGACGTCAACGAGCACACCGTGCTAGGTGGGCCCCCAAGCCTGCTACATTGGACGTATTGCACATCCTGCAGCATGCCATGAACAGGGGCAGGCTGCAAGTGGAGAAGAGACCAGCTTTATAGTGGGCCACTAGGGATGATCATGGGTTCCTAGCGCGGGAACTATAACCATGGCACAGACTCGAACACAGCGCACGAACCATGTAACACATGTGTATATACACACCTGTAAACATTGTAGTGCGTGCATGGGTGTATACACATACACATGCACATATACACACAGATATATATATATATATACGTGGTACCCTTCAGGAGCTTGGTTTGGTGAGTTTCAGCTGTGTCTTCCAGTGTTTAGATAGAAAGAAAGAGAGATAGAGAGATAGATAGAGGGAGAGATAGATAGACAGACAGATAGATAGGTAGATAGAAGATAGAGAGATAGATAGATAAATGAATTGAAAGCGAGATAGAGAGATAGATAGGTAGATAGGTAGATGGATAGAGAAATAAATAGATAGATAGTCAGATCCGCAAATAGATAGAGAGGTCAATAGAAAGAAATAGAGATAAAGAGATAGATAGAAAGATAGATAGAGAGACAGAGAGAGACACATAGAGAACTAAATAAATCGATAGATAAACAAATAGATAGACAGATAAATAGATAGATAGATAGATAAAGAAAGATAGATAAATAAATAGAAAGAGAGATAGATAGATAGATAGATAGATGGATAGACAGACAGATAAATATAGAGAGGTAGATAGATGCATGGATAGACAGACAGATAAATATAGAGAGGTAGATAGATAGATGGATGGATGGATAGGTAGAGAGAGAGAGATAGAGATATAGAGATAGAGAGATGGTTAAATGCACGTGAGATAGTGAGATAGAGAGAGAGATAGATAGATAGATAGATAGAGAGATAGAGACATAGACAGATAGAGAGAGAGAGAGAGATAGGTAGATGGGTAGATAGAGGGATCCATAGAGAGATAGAGAGATAGAGAGATAGATAAATAGATAGAGAGATAGACAGATAGAAAGAGCGACAGATAGATAGATAAATAGAGAGATAGATAGACAGATAGGGAGATAGATAGACACGCGGGAGATAGATGGAGAGATAGATGGATAGATATAGATAGAAAGAGATAGAGAAAGAGATAGAGAGATAGAAAGAAAAAGAGATAGAGAGATAGATGGAAAGAAAGAGAAATAGAGAGATAAATAGATAGATAGATAAACAAACAGAAGATAGATAGACAGATAGATAGATAGATAGATAGATAAAGAGATAGACAGGTACATATATCGAAAGAGAGATAGAAAGATAGGTAGATGGATAGAGAAATAGATAGATAGATGTATAGATAGATAAATTGATAGAGAGGTAAATAGATAGATAGATAGATAGATAGATAGACAGACAGAGATAGAGAGATATATAGATAGATAGAGAAGATAGATAGAGAGATAGATAGATAGATAAGCAGATAGATAGATAACACGAGAGATGGATAGATTGGTAGTTAGGTAGATAGATAGGTAGAGAAAGATAAATAGACAAGCAAACGGAAGAAAGAAAACAGACGGATAGAAAGAAGGAAAGAGGGGAGGAAGGAAAGAAAGGAAGAAAGGAAGAATGACGGAGAAGAAAGAAACAATGAAAAGGAAGAAGAAGAGAAAAGAGTCAAGAAAACAGAGAGAACAAACTACAGTTTTTATATTTTTGAATCTTCCGCCCACCGGCTTCACCGGCTCTACTGGTAATCTGAGAAATTTGTTTTTGGGAATCTTGAAGCTTGAGTCCCATAATCTTGAAAATGGAAATTCCAGCGTTGTCCAAATACTCTAGGTGTTCAACACATACTCCTGCAACCAAGTATGCGCATCCAGTTTGCAATCAATTTGCATTTCTCCAAGTTTCTGCAATATTTGGATTCAAAATGAGAGTACAAGATTGTTGGAAAAGCTTTCAATCTTGAGTATTCAATCCAGTGGAAAAAATTCGAGGTTTTAGAACAACTTGAATTGAAAGTTTTTGGGGCTGGCCCGACTTGACAGTTTTCTTGGCTGGCCAGGATTGATGATTGTCAGTTGTTGTTTGTGCAATCTTCATTTTGACTCCTCAATCCAGTTGGAAAGCACTTTCAAGTGTTAAAGGAACTTGAATGTTGTTTGAGTTTGGCCAGGACTGACGATTCTCAGGGATTATTTCTGTGTAATCTTCAATCTTGAATCTTCCATCCAGTGGTAAAATACTTTCAAGTGCTTAGCGACCGCTTTCAAGTTCTTAATTAGACAATCTTTCAAGTGCTGTTGATGAGTTCATGTAAGCTATGCTCATGTTGACTCTTTTGCTTTTTTCAGTTTTTTACGACGAGGCGCAGGATCATGAGGGGTTCTATATGTTTGTACGTGTGTATATATGTATATAGTTTCACACACCGTCACCCCCCCCGAACTGCCTGTCCACCTTTGCTCATCTACTACCTGCGCCTTTTGAGATAGATTAAATTGTGATTTCCTGCCCACGCAAGATTTTAAATACAATTGATTGAGCTAGAATCCCTGTTTCGAGGTAGTTTTAGAATTTGAACCTCTCTTCCCTTGAAACGTCCATTTTGAAACACAGTCGAACAAGTTTGATCTCGGACCTTTCTTATGCCACAGAAGGGCCAGAATGTAAATAACAAAAAATCGTACTTCGAACTTCCTTTAGAACCCCTTAAATGTTTAGCCATATTTAATACGAGCTATGTTTGAGAATTAGTTTCTATTTTGTTGTTATTATCAAATGCTCATTGAGTTGTGCTTGAAGTAGATTATATTTAACACTTTAAGTTATATTTGGAAAACAACTCCAAACGAATTTATTCTGTTAAAGACTAGTTGGAGTTTACCCGAAAGTATGTTTACATGTTCATTTAGCTCCTATGTGGAAAGGATTTGTTTATTTAAGTTATATTTGAACATAAACACATTTTGGAAACTATATCTTTACTAAACTATTTTGTTCATAGTTGAAGCAAAACCTGTTTGGAAAGGGGATCATATTGGGACATTGCGGAGGACTCTATTGAAATCTCTAGATTCTAGATTCATCATCCCCAAAAATCACTAAAACCAGGGTTCATGGGGGGGGGGGGTTGCATATATACATATATATTGCTACCTACATACGTATGTCGATATGTATATGTACCCATACACACAAATATGCATACACATATACACATACGCACATATATACACATACACATACGCATACACATACATACACACATACACATACACATACACAAACATACACACATATGCACACGCATACACACCCACACACACATATGCACACGCACGCACCCCTGCACATACACACATACACACATACACACATACACACATACACACATATACACATACACACATACACACATTCACTCATGCA